TAGAAATTAACATAAGAAGCGTAACCAATTATAATAAAGAGCGTGTAGAATATAGATGAGTTAACTAGTAACCAATAGGAGTAAGAATTAGAAATGCATATGTATACGTGTTGTCATATATAAGTAATAGAAAAGTTATGTTCGATGCCTCACTCAGTGGGGACAGTTTTGTATCTTTTGTCTAAAAAAAGATGAGGGACTCCTTTTAAATGAGCTGTTGACCAGTTCTGAGACTACTGAATCAGGCAGCCGCACCTAGCCTTTGGGTTAGAAAGCAAGGGCTTGATTTGGGAACCTCGTGAACCAACAGACCTCCTTAGTTTATGACTTTGTGAAACAATAAAAGTTTTTAATTGAACATCCAGGTCTGAGCCTGTGCTTAATTCAGTCCTTATATAATTTGGCACGAACTCACACAGAACCAACTTCCAAGCAAAGTGGTACTGGCTCCTACCCTGGGGGTCTTTAGGAGAAGGCTAGGTGAACACCTTGCCGGGGTCATTTGACGGGTCTTTCCTGCCATGGCAGGGGGTCGGACTTGATGATCTGGCTCAGGTCCCTTTCGACCCTACCAACTATGAAACTGTGAAGATTGAAAAGAGTCAAGCAGAGAGCAACAAAATTGATTAGAGACCTGAAAACATGATTTATGAGAAAAGGCTAAAAGAAATAGGGTTATCTAATCTGGAGAAGAAAAGACTGAGGAATGGGTTTAACAACAGTTTTCAAATGCCCGAAGGGCAATTAGAGAGGCTGGAGATGGACTTTTCTCTGTGACTATAGAGGAAAGGACTAGGAGCAATGGCCTGAAGCTCCAGCAGGGGAAATTTAGGCTGGAGACAAGGAAGTACTTTCTGACTATGAGGGTGATCAAGCATTGGAACAGGCTACCTAGAAAAGTTGTGAAATCTCTATCCAGGGAAATTTTCAAGAGCAGGTTGGACAGAAACTTGCCTGTTCACTCAACGTAAGTCAACAATATGATGCTCTTGTAAAAACAAAGCAAAAGAAGCTCATCAAGGAGCACGTTTGTGATGGGCCGGCATCAGGAATGATGCTCAGGGGCAACCAGCATGGATTTATTAGGGGGAGATCATGTCAGACCAACCTGATTGCCTTCTACGATCAGGTCACAAAGGCCATGGATGCA